TGACCATTTCCACTGCTAATCATCTGAGTGCAGCAGATGAAAGAAAGCGGGGTTTAAACGGATTTTTGTAACATCTGAATCACGAGGAGGAAAAACAACCACCGCGTCTGTTTACGCGTGGAGACGGAAGGATCGATGGTTGGATAGGTGGTGGGTTCGGATTTAAATTAATGGCTACAGAGTGGGAAACCCAGTTGGATAAACACACAAAGGTGGTGGCGAGCTGGAGGGCATCAGAGGTCGGGGGCACAGAGAACCGGGGGGCCCTGGGCAGCATTTAGCCGCCAGGCGAGCGGATGGGAGACACTTGCGGCAAAGGTGTAAACAAGCGTGAGAGCAGAATAGATGTGGAGGAAATAGGGAGCTTGTTTCTTGGCAACAAGCAAATGACCCGCCGCTGCATATGTGCCCCAAGATGGACTGATCCTGAGTTCCTTTCTTTCTTTAGAGAGAAATTTTGACTTTAATGCCAAGAAGAAAATCACCCTGATTCCAGTAAACAAGCTGCCTTTTAAATCAAGAATTTTTCTTCAGGGTGGCGTGTGCGATCGCGTGTATTAAAGAGAAAAGAAAAGCCATCCTACCTTACAACTGAACTGGCTCAGCGCGGTCAGAACCATCTTGTCCAGATGAGACTTTGGATCAGAGGAAATTAAAGTTAAATTAAAAAGAAACGCCGTTTCTTCCTCGATGGTGTCAAGAGCACCTCTGCTTGTCTTCTCTGTCTCTGACTGGCGTGCTCACCCAAAAGCTTCTTGCAACTCTCGTAGCATCGCGATGTTTAGGCTGCAGATTCTAGCCCCCCACCCCCCCATCAAAACACACACACACACACACGCACACACTCACACGCACACACACAGAGAGAGAGAGAAACGCAGTCCTGCGCTCACACGCGCCATTAACCTCTGATAGAGTTGAAATTCCAGCCATGTAAAGCGCTCTGTGTGCACACTGAAGCTCCTTTACTGGCGTGCATATGACTCAGCAGCAATATCATATGCCTCCGCGACTCGGGCACAGCATGCTGTGCGTATACAAGCACCCGAAATTCGCTCTGTACCTGCGAGAGGCTGCAGCAAAAACATAAGCGTAAGAAAGAAACAAATAAAAATAATAAGCAGGCTTCATTCAACGTGCTTTCTTTTTCTCTTTCTTTGTTTTTTGAATGAAAGCAAATTCAAAATCTTTCTTACCAACTGGCGCTTTGGAGCTGATACAGCCCATATTTGCAGCTTCATGTAGAACCGCAAGCTATTACATGTGTTCCCCCCTAACAGTCGCGGAGCGTACCTCACTTATCTCTGACTCTCCTCCAACGGAGGCTCCGCTGGGTTCCGGTACGAGGCGGCAGCGCACTGCTGTGCTCACACCGCTGCAGCGACGCCGAGGGCGGGGGGGAGTCCGGCCATCACTTCCTCTCCCTGCTTTCACTTTCTTCTGTTTTTAACCTGCTTCAAATCCACACACATAAAGTCTTTGTGCAGCTTTGCTGTTGCTTTCTTCTTCTCCTTCTTCTTCTTCTTTATCACTTGAGTCTCTTAGACGAGCTCTACGTCACCTGTCGCAGGGTCGGGTCCTGAGGTTCAGCACCACAGAGGGCGGACAGCGCTCTGTCTGGCGGCAGCGGCATGGGTTTCAGTCCCAGCCCGGCAGCTGTGAGGGTCGAGTTCTCTCGGCTCGGTCACTGCCACGCCACGCTGTCAAAACAGATTCCCGCGCGTCACAGAACGGACCTTGGGAGGCACACACATTGATAGAAAAATCCCACGCTCGGCCGCTTATATACGGCCAAATCTGAGTTTCCGCCTTCGAAGTAGAAGCGGAATGAGACGTGATTGGCTGGTGTCACCTTACATGCCAGCCAACATGAGGGAGGAAGAGAGGGAGGAGTTAGCAGCGCGCACACAGGAGGAGGAAGGTGTCAGATGAGGATTTCATGTCTCGTCGTCTGTGGAAGAAGCACGATGGCAAATCTGGAACGTGTTGCATATGTCATCAGGTCTAAATAGGGAACGCGCACAGTGTGAAGCCTGGCGCAGGTTGTGATGTTACGAGAGCGACAAAAACCCACTTTTCCACCGACAGTCGTGGGGTTGGAAAGGTCGCGTTGGGTCTGTATGACCACAGACTGCATGTTGGTGTAGCAATGCAAACGTCCAATAACAGTAGCTATTTATAAAAAAAAAAGCATGCAAGAAAATGGACAACTTTCCCGCACAGTCTGACACGTTTCCGAACATCAGACCCACTTTCCTATACGCACAGCGCGCAGTGGTCCAGCTGCAGGCTCTCTGTGACCTCCCGCTTCACGCATCCAAATATAGGCAAGCTGTCAAAGAAAGAAAAAAGCCTGACATTTGTGCTCGTGCATCCTCAATCCCAGTTACCCGTTATAGAATCGTGCATGGGCAGAGAGAGTGACTAGAGCAGGAGAAAGGCATGTTGTGACCTATTTGTAAGCGACCCAAACCTGTCTCCAAGCGAGCAGGTTGGCGCTCAAGCATCTTCCCTTCCAATTTTCTCTTAACGCCCACCAGGACTCTAAACATAGACCCAGAGCTGCTGACCCACGAGGCCGCTCTACCTCCACACTGCGCCTGTTACCTCATATGGAGGAACAGCTCCATCATGGAGCTCTTTGAAATTCGTTTTCTATCCATCCCCCCCGAAAAAACGCCATGAAGAACGTCATGTAGAGATATTATCCACTGGATCCTTTTTTTATTTATTTTTTACATGAAGGTAACTTAAAGGCTATTATCTATAAACTACATAAATGTATGCTGTAAATCAGCACTCCTTTCCAGTTATTTTGTCAAATAGGGGCACATGGGAAATCAGGAAATTGAATCAGGAATAAATGCCTAAATAAAAACTAAATACATAAACAAAGAGACTTGGACCTGGTTGAAAATAAAAGTAGTTATTTTAATTATTGGTTATTTCAATGGTGGCTGGATCTCATCTCTCCATGAGCATGGATTAGGAAGCATAAGGTGGTCACAGACCACACAATTAAACTATGGAGCAAAATGCAGACTGATTTCAAGTGTAAATACCCCTCATTCTGCCAAAAAAAATGTAAGTAAAATATCTATGATGGATACATGATACATATTATGGATCAGCCACTGGACACCTCGAGCTCCGGCTTTACCTGCAACCCTGCCCCTCATATGCAGGCATGAAGGAAATGTTAGTTCTCTGTGTCTGGAACATGTGGAACTCCGACAGCTTTAGGAAAAGTCGCTGCGACATTTACTTTGTCACTCAGTTGGAGCTGTGCAGGAATACAGCCTGACTGTATGCTTCACACAGATCCCACGGGAGCATGTCCAATATGAGCTGTGTGCCTAAAAAGACACATGAGTGAATGGCTCGGTGTCATCATGAGAACATCATGGCTAAAAATGACCAACTTGTTATACAGTAAACACAAAGAAAGTGAATGAGAAACATCAAAGCATGATGCCTTAACATGTGCGGCATGTGTCACTTTACTCATCACAGAGTCAAACCGTGGGAGGACCGCCATTAGTCACACGGGCCTTTTTTTCCTTTTTCTTTTTTGCCTTTCTTTCTGCACGTGCACAGTCTTCTCGTGTTGTGTTATTTTTTACAGTTTGAACCGCAGAAGACTGCAATCTTCTGCACCCACTCTCCCCGCAGTGCAGCCCTCATCTCATAACACACACCGAAAAAGTTGCGGCAAATCCATACAGTGTGATGGGCCCTGTGCCTACTGTAGCTAGTGCTCTAGCGCCACCGAAAGGACGGCTGGTGCACAGGCAGCTGTGGGAGCTGTAGGAGTGCGGTGAGAGCCTGTTGCGCAGTACAGTATGTGTGACTGCAGAGCAGTCCTGAACAGCTCGCGTGTCTCCTTTTCGAATGAAAACTAGTATCAGAAAAGTTAAACACAGTTAGGAAACATGCAAGGAATAAATGAAAGCATGTGTTAGAGATGTTTAAACTGATTAAAATGGACAAAGTGTTGTACAGACAAGGCTGCTCTTTTCATTGAAGCATGTGAAAACACAACTTGACACATTTTAGATATAAAAATGAAGATTCAGAGTAAAGAAAAACAGGCATTCCAATCACATTTATTGTTGTTTTAATACCTGTTGTTTAGACATCTGTGATAGAAGCAGCAAAATGTCACTAAGAAGTTGGAGATTTTACAGTTTTTTTGCAGGCTATTGCAATCGTCACGTTTCCCTCTTTGATCAAAATGATCTGGATGATCAAGCGCATTCCACCTTTAAAAAAGGGGGAAAAAACTAGGGCGTGAACAGGATTTCCATTCTGTTAAAAGAAGTGATCGTTTGTGCTGTGATCAGACAGAGAATGCCTGTTTAGAGAGAGCAGCCCCCTCAGCTGAAGAAAAATGTAGCCGTCCTTTTCTTCAGAGAGCCCACGACGGCACGCAGAACACAAGGCGAGTGATGAAACAGAAGCTTTCTGCCAGCTTCAGGCTCTCGGGGCTGCAGATAAGAAGGAGATCTTGATAAAAAAAAGCTCAGCAGATTTAGTCTCATGCAGTAAAATGAGGACGAGTCGGCATTGTAGAGCTTTGTAGAGCTGCCTGGCTGATTAAACGAAAAGCAGAGAAATGACCAAGAGACAGTTCTTGTGTCCCAGGTTCTTGTTGCTGCTGTCTCAAGCTGTCCCATCCCCTACTGGGGGCTTTATATGAGAACCACTAAGCTCTGGAGACGAAGACGAAGCAAACAGAGGATCTTTGATTATGTTGTGTTCTATTGATTATGGTGATATTGTTCATATGCATTCTTCTGCCACCACCTTAAAGCGTCTTGTTGTATATTCCAGTGCACAGTTTCATCACACGTGATGTCCCTTAATGTGAAAAGGTGGAGTGGTCCTCCTTAACAAAGAGCAGGGAGCAGCAGTGTAACAACTTTTTCTTTTTGCTGTCACCACCACAAACAGCCAGGTTATCTCTGTTCTCTGCTTACATTTAAATACAGTGCAGCGTCAGACCACAGCTTACTGTAACATAGGTCTTAGACAAACACAGGTTTTCACATTCTGTGTTGCTTACCAGTTGAACAAGCCAAAAATTTATGAAGTCCCATCTTCTGATTACATAATCCCTTTATGTAATCTGATTACATAAAGTGTTATCTGAATGTTTCTGCAATCACACTTGCACAGCTTCTAATTCTGAAAATATATCATAATGATTGTTTGTGCATTATATGTTTCTCTGCCTGTCCATCCATCCATCCATCCATCCATCCATCCATCCATCCATCCATCCATCCATCCATCTTCTTTTGCTTATCCAGGTCATGGGGGCAGCAGCCTAAGCAGATAAGCCCAGACCCCCAGCCACCTCCTCCAGCTTGTCTGGGGGAACACCAAGGCTTTCCCAGGCCAGCCGAGAGATATTATCTCTCCAACTTGTCCTGGGTCTGCCCTGGGGCCTCCTCCTGGTGGGACATACCCGGAACATCTCACCCAGGAGGTGCCCAGGAGGCAACCGTGTCAGCTCGTGACCATGGGTGAGGGTAGGGATGTAGACTGACCGGTAAATCGAGAGCTTTTTTTTTTGCACTCAGCTCTCTCTTCACCACAGCAGACCGGTGCAGCGTCCACATAACTGCTGCACCCGCAACACCAATCCATCTGTCACGCCTAGAAATTCTGTCCATAAAGAAATTCTGTCTGCCCCTTGTCCTTAGACTTTATATGTTTGTTTTGTGTTGTGTATGTTTGTGTACATGGGTTTATTCTTAAGATATAAACTGCAAATCTCAATGTGAGTACATGCTGAAGATAGGGACACACTCGTATGTCAGTTGAATATCAATGCTGGATGAAGTTTTCTTGGTTTTCCTGCTATGAAAGTGGGATAAAGAACAGCAGAAAGTGCTGGTGCTGGAGCCTGTTCCAGCGGTCACAGGATGACCAGCAGGGTACATCTTGGACAGGTCACCAGAACCAGTTTAAATTAGGTACCAAACTATAATTTTAGGTTTGATGCTGTGTAGCTTCATGCTGCTTTGCAGCCAAAAATATCAGAAACAGCATGAACCTTTGTTATAAGGCACAATGGATCCATGCTTTCGTGTTTTTAGGTCAACCACG